TATACATGTGATCTGTCATGAACCCACCCAGGGAAGATCTGATCGCTACCCAGGTGGGTGTGTCTGGTGGAGGTTGATGTTCCGGGTCATCCAACGGTGGGTCGGAGACAGGCTGGGGGTGGGGTGGAGCTCTGAGGGTGATGGGGTGTTGAAGGGACTCGGCTTCAGTGACTCAGAATGGAGCACTGCGCCCATTACGTCCTCGTTGTCCCCAATTGTCAGGGGAGCTGGCGACAGAGGAACCAAGGCCACCAGCAGAAGGGGGCCAGAGGCCCCCCCTCACTACTTAACAATGGAGGCGTTAGCGAGGGTCAATCGTTCATCATGTGATTCATTGGGGTTTATACGAAGGCACCTGTCATATCCATACATACCCAATCCCAAACCGACTTCTGGACCCTCCTCTCAACCACCTCTGGAGTCCTACCCTACCTCCATCCGCTCCGATACCCACCTTCGGACATGACACCATTCCTCTCTCCACTCCACTCCTCTCTTCACTCTCCTCCCTCCTCCCCTCTTCCGCCAACCTCCGCCAAAGTTACGACCTTCTGCCACAGTCCCATACCCCATACGTGGTGAAGGAGAGAACGAAGGAAGGTCAGTTGGGAGGTTCAAACAAGACCACCACCAAGCTGTTCCCTGGTTCTTTAGTTAGGATGGGGAAGTGTACTAGTAATATTTGTTGTAATTATAGTACCAATCCGAGTGTTTTGGCTAATTCTATTTTATGGGTTAGTCTAAAAGTTTCTGAGAATTGACTTACAGATAAACAAAGCCCTGTGGAGCTGTTCCTCTATTGTAATTTCTCAATTTGTCTGGGTGTAATTCTGTGTAGGATCATTTAATTTGGATTTTAACTTGAATTAAATCTTCTACTTGGTGAAGTTTCAAAGATTCTTCTCAGTTAATGATTTAGATTGTGTCTGGAGTATCCCTTGAGTTTGTTTTATTTTTGTCTTATTTTATTGCTTGTTTTAACAGTAGCAAAATAACTGTTTTGTGTTTACACTTTGAAATCTGGAGTGTTAACCAGCTCTCCTGTTGAAATATCTACTTAATATTTCTCTCCTTAATTGCTGCCTTTTACTACAGTGGCAATCTTAACTGTATATCACTTTTTCGTGCTGGAGTGACAACCAGAAATGCTTGAGAAAAATAATACTCTATTTTCTTACTTCTCTGAGGGGGCGAAAGGTCGCAGAAAGGGTCTCCCTTTTATACTCCTTGGGCCGCCTTCCTTTTTCACGCTCTGCCTTGTATTTACAGGATTTATTTACAGTGTATTTTCCTCAAACTGAATGAAAAATGAAATTTTCATGCTGTAGGTGGGCACAGCCGGTACCACACAAACAAGCCGATTATCACGATTCTACCACCCACGTCAAGCATTCCACTTCCGAAACACACCTACCACTGTTCCAGATACCCCTTCCACATTTCCCATATTTTTTCCGATTTTTTCAAGCCATTCCTGACCACAGACAACCATCAGTTTCCAAATTGGGTAACTGTCACCCGCATATTCCGCTGCTTCCTCCATATCTCCATCAATTCTCCACCGATCCAGACGAATTTGGTATCGTTGGAAAGCCCTTGTCAACACAAGTCGAACAATGTCAAGAGTGACGTATTTGGTTCAGCGGTTGAGGCGATCGCCATGGTTCTTTATTTCCTTAACAACATCAATATTTCTTTGATATTACTTTTTTTCTTAAGTGTTCCTTGTGAATCTGTTGCCGTCCTAAACCCGTCGGATCATTCGGATTTCCACACATACCTTTTTCATATTTATAGTTACCCTCTTCCCTGTATTTACAAAAAAAGGACTCCCCCAACAGAGAGAGGTGCTCCCCAACAGACATGAAGGTTTAGAAGAGGTTTAACAGCGCCCAGAGCGGTGAATACGAAGCCAAAGAGGCTCAAGACATAGTGCAGGGACATTAGTTTGATTTCTAGTGAGATTTACGAGTTTATCATTTTTATCACATCGCACCCGGACCATTTCTCCCCCCCTTCCCCTTCATCTGAACCTCCCCTGAGCACTCCCAACTCTGTGGCCCCCTCTCTTTCTCATTAGGGTGGTAGATCCCTTGCCCCCTTACAACGCTATAGTTCTACTGCGCTGAACTGCAGCTCTACTGTGGTCAGACTGCACCTAGAATCCTTATTGTCCTTCCTCACCTAAGCTATTTTAATAGTTAATTAGAACTTGACTGCGCTGCATCTGTCGCAGTTTTCTATTTCAAATTCCTCATGTTTACCATTAAGTTCGCTATGACTCGGTCATTCTGAATTCAAACTTCGCATTACTATGCGTATGGCTGCACTGAGACCTTCAGCTGATTTATTCTATTTTTATCCAGTAACATTTAGTTGGAATGAGACTTGAAATGATAAATGAGTGAATTATTCAGGTTTAAACCCGAAAGAAAAAGTTGCTAGTAGTCAAGAATTGCTCAAATGAATGTATTATAGCTCTCTGCTTCATTGGTATATCGTTCCCTAAAATTCCTGCCATGGTCCATCGTAGTTTAGTGGTTTTCGTGGATTTCATCCTTCTGCCCTGATTCCCCTTTGTATTATTGCATCCTAGTCCTCCATATGTATTGTTCATTGTTATAGTAGGTCGTCCTCGTAGATATCATATTTTTATGTATTTATTTGGGGCTCTGGACCTCTAGAAGCTGTCTTCCCATGCATTTTCAGGTTTCTAACTTCATGTCCTTGTATCTCATTCATTTCTGAATGGTTTTTCACGTTCTCGGTATCATAAATTTTCATTTATTCCCACCTTTCCAATGGTACTAAAGTTGTGTTTTATTTCTTGGTATTCATCGAGTTAGCAAAAGTTCGCACACACATTCAGTAATCACATGCATCGTTCCCATAGTTGTTCATATGTGGGCGCTGTTTCTGTTTAATTGTTTTGGATTTATGGTATGCATGGGTGTTTGTATCCTTTATACGGGCTTCCGTGATTTATTTCAGATTTTTCCCTCATGATCTAAGGTTGTTTTGTACTTTCCATGCTTTGTTTTGACCGGAGTCTTCCTTATTTGCATGGAAATTGGTCTTCGCGATCTGCCGAAGTGCAGATCTTGGTTCCGACGGCCGGTTCCCTTCGCATTGCCACCCTCACATGTCTTTAAACATGATGCAGATTTCTTTATTCCCATCATTGGTATAACTTCACAATGGCTGGACCATTTGGGCTGAAAATTTGCATAACTATAGTTTCCTATTTATCATAATTTCCATGTAAATCTCGTTGTGTGTTTTAAATATGGATCCTATGTAAACATCGTCTTTTCCCTGAGCCCAGACTTTTGATGTCGCTCTTCCCGTTATTGGGTATCTCATTGATGCCTGATCCTTTTATTATGAAAGTTTGGGTGGATTAAGATTAGATCCCTTCCTTTCTAATGGGCTATCAAGCTCGTCTTGGTCGTTACCGCTTGTTCTTCATGCTTGCCTTTTAAACATTGTCCTCATTTCCCAAGAGTTTTGGTTATATCTCCGTTGTTTATGGGTAGTTTTCCCTGTAATTACTTTCATCGGGTCCATTTGGGAGACATCTATATTTCCTATTATAAACACGACTTTGAATTTTGCATTAGTTCCTGAGGAATCCTTGTTCCGTGGTACTTCCATCCTCGGCTACATGTGCAGGCGTGGGAAAGTAGTTTCCGTGGAGGTTCTCTGGTTGTTTTTATGGTCAAGTCTTGGTCGATTGTCCTAATTCTTTGTTTAATATTTGCTATAAATTCCCCCAAGAATTCCGTCTTGTTGATGCTAAGCTTGACGTATTTTTGCTAATTTTCTTTCTTCCAATTTATCGTATGTAGTCATAATAATTCATAAAAATTCGTAAAAATTCAGGTTCTTCTATTTTCTCATACCTACTTGTCGTATGGGGTTTTGTGATTTATCTGGCATATTTCTATAATGGGTTTCCATAGTGTGACCGTTATTTCTCCTACAGCAGACACCGCTCGTACCTTCACTCTGAGATCCCATCATGTCCCTGACCTTGGACTTTGACTCCACCTTGGCTTAAGTCCATCTGCATTGGTGACCTCACTCTATGTAAACACCATTGCCAACATTTCTTGGACTTCCAACCCCGCTTCCGCAACCTCCAAGCTCCACAGACCATACCTGGCACTTTTGCCGCTTGTAATGTATCTTTTGCACTTTCCCCTCATCCCTATTTGGACTACTGCTTCCTTCCATTTTAGCCAGTTAGTCACCATCCCCACTTCACCTCATCCTCCTGCCCCTCTGGGCTTCACCCTCCCTACCTCCTTTGAGTTGTACTGCAGAGTCTAACCCATGACCTTCGGTGCCACTCCATTTCCGTCATCCCTTTGTCTCTGTTCGGACGCCTTTGTTCCAATTTGGACCCCCTTTGTTTTTCCTTGTGCTTTCATCTCTCCATTATATACAGGTGCTTGTACATACTCATTTTGGACCTTCAGTCTAAAATCGACCAGAAATGCCCCCTAGAGACTTCCTGCTCACTGCTTCTGGAATTAAGGACCAAATGGACAAACAGCAGTGGCACAGCGCTCCACATGAGTCACTGAGGCCAAGGTCCCTCCTTGCTAAGTCTCTGGTTCCCCTATGGAATCGTCCACCCTCGCCCAGTTCTAACAGCACCTTTAGACACATCTGTCACTCAGTTCTTGGTTCAGGGTGGAGCAGCAGGTGAGTAGAGTGCGATAGACATCATGGGAGAGGGTTTGGATTCAAGGACTTAATATTATAACTGGGGGGGAACTATTTACTAGAGTTGTACACACATACATATAGCAGAGGTAACAGGATCCAAAGGTAAACAAGGGTCACCAAGGGGAAGAAGAAGTAAATAGAAAGACTCCACAGGACAAATACAGAATAAGCAAAAAGCCTGAGTTACATCTGAAGTTTGTGGAGTGAGAGAATTAGGAACCAACTGAATGGTTAGGCCTGGGCCCATCTATGAATGAGCAGGGGAACTACAGGGGAAGATGTCCGGAAGGGTCTAGAGCCCAGAAGTTGTAGTCCGGAATATTGGGGTTGTAGAAAATATCAAATGATAAAACAATAAGGAATAACATGACTGGAGGTAAGGTAGGAGTGGGGAGGTACTGGAGGTGCACGACTGGAGGTGCCGGAGGTGCAGAGACCAGAAGTAAGAAGGAGGGTGGATAGACAAGTTGAGGGTTACCAACAACAAGTAGGTGACCGAGGTCCATATCCTTTGAACAAGAGGTCTGAGAAGGTGGAGGTATGGTAGGGGAGGTCCAGAGGTAGGAGGTCCGGAAAGAGGAGTGAGAGTTGAGGTATGTCCTGAGGTTCCCGACAGCTTGTCAGTACTCTAGTAACTTACCAGAACAATGTAGGAGTTCCAGAGGTGATGCAGACATAGATGGGATGGAAGGGCAGAAGAGAGTCGAAGGAGGAGGTAGTCCTAGGATCATTGGCATCGACTGGAGGCAGCAGAGAGAGATTGGGAGGGCTGGTGGAGGTTATAAGAGTCATCTAGGACTAGGGCAGATGTCAGAGACTGGATGCGAGATGAAGGAAATGTCTCCATGGCGGAGGGCTTCGGCCTCAGCAACTTAGACCAGGAGCACTGTGCCTAGTTACATGTCCATGCCCTAATTTACTTACTGGCAACAAGAACTTGAAAGAGGGAAACTTTAGTTGATTTTATCACTAGGGTGTGACCTATCTACAAGTTATGTATATATAGCTACACAGAGGGCAGGCCCGTGAACGGTGGGGCCAAGCGGAGTGGAGCTAACGGAGCTACCTGTTAGCCGACTAAATATTACCGATGAGTCAGGTTATGGGGTTAGCGGAATGGCAGGCTATACCCAGAAACGGAAAGGAGGGATAGGCCTGTAGGTCGACTTGCAGGGCAAGCAAGTGAATTGCCCAGTGGAGGCAGGAGTGCACTAGCAGACGTCGGAGCTGTCCAGAGGCCTTTGTCAGGGCACGCCCGCCTGACCCGGCCCCACCTAACCCGGTGCCCCACCATCCACTCCTCTTGACCTCCCCCCTCTTCCCCTTTTCTCCCTTCCCTTCCTTCCTCTCCTTCTTTTCTATTCTCTCTCCTCTTTATTCCTTTCTTATCACACGGACGACTTCCTTTGTATCAATGTACCATTGACCCGGCTGCAGTGTAACGCGCCCGAACCCGGACACACCGGACGACCCCCCGCACACCGGACGCTCCTAGGACCTCCTACGGAGGTACCCAGACGGAGGTGGCTGTGTGCTCGGATGACGTGGCGCTTCCCACGTGGCCTTCAACCACATGTATATAAACACAGCCTAAGTGGGAACTGAGAAGCAACCTTCTTCTCACATTTCCCACTTTAGGCAAGTAGCTTACACTTCCCTTGATAATGACAATAACACATTTCCCACTTTAGTCTTAGTGGCCAGGGACCCTTGTCTGCTTCGGGCCCGCTGCTACGCGCGCCCGCGTCATACCTACCGGACCCTCAGCCTCGGGCGATACACCCGGGCGCTCTCGACCCCGGGTCGGTCCCTGACAGCCTTCAGGAATCCATACTTAGGGAGGCATAGGTAATATATTGGATTGAGGGGGTGGTGACCATCAAGGGAGTCGGAGGTGATTGTGGAATACAGAGGCTCCAAGGTTAGTGACAAAGGAGCAGAGGTAATCTGGAAGGGTCGGAGGTAGTGGAGGACAATGGCCATGGATGGATATGACAGCAGAGGGAGGTGGAAGATCCGGGATATGACATGATGGCCAGATCCTGTGGAAGGAAAGGTGAGAGATAAACAGGATAAGGGCAAGATAAAGGCAGGAAAATGACAGTACCCCCAAGTCACATGTACCAGGTTGTATTTGTAGTCATGTGATCAAGCAGCACCTTCTGGTACTGCTTAACACTACCATAAAATACACACCATTGTAACACTTATGGTTTGGTGTGCTGAGCAACCCCTCTGAGACCTCACACCTGTTCTGTTACATACATATGGATATTATATACAAGATTGTATATTTACTCTGGAAACAGACTGGGATACAACAAACAACAAACAGCAAACAATAATGAAAGATGTGCAGCAATGCCTTACAATGAGGTATAAAGGCAAAAGTGTATGAAATCCCATAGGTGCCAATTATCCATGCACAGGAGTCCAAAAAACCATAACATGAAAGGTGTCATATCCATCCCCGGCCATCAACTTCCGGTCCCTCCATTCCCTCCGTTCTAACTCCGCTCCTCTCTCACCAACCTCAGAGCCCCCGTATTCCGCAAACCTCTCGGTACCCCTCGATGGTCACCACCCCCTCATTTCAATTTATTACCTACGCCTCCCTAAGTACGGAGCCCTGAAGACTTCCGGACAGCTCCGACGTCCGCTAGCGCACCCCTGCCTCCGCTGGGCAATACACTCGCCTGCCCTGCAGAGCCCACCTTCGGGCCTATCCCTCCTTTCCGTTTCTGGGTTAACGCCTGCCTTTCCGCTAACCCCGCGAACCGACTCGTCGGTAATATTCAGTCGGCTAATGTTTCAACCCCGTTAGCTCCGCTCTGTTCAGCTCCACCAATTGCGGAACCGTCCCCGCTGTAACCATATATATATCCCACTTGTACATAGGTTACGCCCCAGTAGTAAAATCAACTAGAGTTACCCCCCTAGGTTCTAATTGCCAGTCAGTAAGTTAGGGCACGGACATGTCACTAGGCACAGCGCTCTTGGCAGAAGTCGCTGAGGCCAAAGCCCTCCGTTACGGAGACATTCCTTCATCTCGAGTCTGGTCTCTGACAAAAGGCCAGAGCATGTTGTGCACTTTGGTTGTATAAGATTTGTGGCCATCCACCTTTAAGCCCATGGTGCCTGAAGGCTACTCTAGGTGCAATTAGTAGCTGTTGGGTAAGTTTACATACTGCCAGACTTATCAAGGGCAGGTGAAATATTGAGAATGAAGACTTTTCCAGATTTAGTTCCACAAGCTGCAACAGATCCATGGGAAACCAAAGTGGTTAGGGAAAGATTAAGGGGTATAGCGAAAATATAAGCAGTCCCAATGCAAACCCACTGCCCTTTCATGATGTTAAGTATGCCAAAAGCCTGAGGGGTCACCAAATGTGAATGGCCCTCAAGTGTCTTGAGGTGGCTTCCAGTGTAAGGGTCCCACAGCCTGATGGTATGATCACGTGATGCTGATGCCAGGAGCAATCCATCTGGAGAGAAGGCCACAGATGTCACCCAATGAGAATGGCCCTCAAGTGTCTTGAGGTGGCTCCCAGTGTGAGGGTCCCACAGCCTGATGGTATGATCATCTGATGCTGATGCCAGGAGCAATCCATCTGGAGAGAAGGCCACAGATTTCACCCAATCAGAATGGCCCTTAAGTGTCTTGAGGTGGCTCCCAGTGTGAGGGTCCCACAGCCTAATGGTACAATCATCTGATGCTGATGCCAGGAGCAATCCAACTGGGGAGAAGGCCACAGATGCCACCCCATGAGAATGGCCCTCAAGTGTCTTGAGGTGGCTCCCAGTGTGAGGGTCCCACAGCCTGATGGTATGATCATCTGATGCTGATGCCAGGAGCAATCCATCTGGAGAGAAGGCCACAGATCTTGCCAAATCAGAATGGCCCTCAAGTGTCTCAAGGTGGCTCCCAGTGTGGGGGTCCCACAGCCTGATGGTACAATCATCTGATGCTGATGCCAGGAGCAATCCATCTGGAGAGAAGGCCACAGATGTCACCCAATCAGAATGGCCCTCAAGTGTCTTGTGGCTCCCAGTGCAAGGGTCCCACAGCCTGATGGTACAATCTTCTGATGTTGATGCCAGGAGCAATCCATCTGGAGAGAAGGCCACAGATATCATCAAATCAGAATGGGCCTCAAGTGTCTTGAGGTGGCTCCCAGTGTGGGGGTCCCACAGCCTGATGGTACAATCATATGATGCTGATGCCAGGAGCAATCCATCTGGGGAGAAAGCCACAGATGTCACCCAATGAGAATGGCCCTCAAGTGTCTTGAGGTGGCTCCCAGTGTGAGGGTTCCATAGCCTGGTGGTGTGATCATCTGATGCTGATGCCAGGAGCAATCCACCTGGAGAGAAGGCCACAGATCTCACCCCATGAGAATGGCCCTTAAGTGTCTTGAGGTGGTTCCCAGTGTGAGTGTCCCAAAGCCTGGTGGTATGATCATCTGATGCCGATGCCAGGAGCAATCCACCTGGAGAGAAGGCCACAGATCTCACCAAATGTGAATGACCCTCAAGTGTCTTGAGGTGGCTCCCAGTGTGAGGGTCCCACAGCCTGATGGTATGATCATCTGATGCCGATGCCAGGAGTGATCCATCTGGAGAGAAGGCCACAGATCTTGCCAAATCAGAATGGCCCTCAAGTGTCTCAAGGTGGCTCCCAGTGTGGGGGTCCCACAGCCTGATGGTACAATCATCTGATGCTGATGCCAGGAGCAATCCATCTGGAGAGAAGGCCACAGATCTCACCAAATAGGAATGGCCTTCAAGTGTCTTGAGGTGGCTCCCAGTGTAAGGGTCCCACAGCCTGATGGTACAATCATCTGATGCCGATGCCAGGAGCGATCCATCTGGAGAGAAGGCCACAGATCTTGCCAGATCAGAATGGCCCTCAAGTGTCTCAAGGTGGCTCCCAGTGTGAGGGTCCCACAGCCTGATGGTACAATCATCTGATGCCAATGCCAGGAGCGATCCATCTGGAGAGAAGGCCACAGATCTTGCCAGATCAGAATGGCCCTCAAGTGTCTCAAGGTGGCTCCCAGTGTGAGGGTCCCACAGCCTGATGGTACGATCATCTGATGCCGATGCCAGGAGCAATCCATCTGGAGAGAAGGCCACAGATCTTACCAAATGGGAATGGCCTTCAAGTGTCTTGAGGTGGCTCCCAGTGTAAGGGTCCCACAGCCTGATGGTACGATCATCTGATGCTGATGCCAGGAGTGATCCATCTGGAGAGAAGGCCACAGATCTCACCCAATGAGAGTGGCCCTCAAGTGTCTTGAGATGGCTCCCAGTGTGAGGGTCCCACAGCCTGATGGTGCGATCATCTGATGCCAATGCCAGGAGTGATCCATCTGGAGAGAAGGCCACAGATCTCACCCAATGAGAGTGGCCCTCAAGTGTCTTGAGGTGGCTCCCAGTGTGAGGGTCCCATAGCCTGATGGTACGATCATCTGATGCTGATGCCAGGAGTGATCCATCTGGAGAGAAGGTCACAGATCTCACCCAATGAGAGTGGCCCTCAAGTGTCTTGAGGTGGTTTCCAGTGTGAGGGTCCCAAAGCCTGATGGTATGATCATCTGATGCTGATGCCAGGAGTGATCCATCTGGAGAGAAGGCCACAGATCTCACCAAATCAGAATGGCCCTCAAGTGTCTTGAGGTGGCTCCAAGTGTGAGGGTCCCAAAGCCTGATGGTATGATCATCAGATGCTGATGCCAGGAATGATCCATCTGGAGAGAAGGTCACAGATGTCACCCAATGAGAATGGCCCTCAAGTGTCTTGAGGTGGCTCCCAGTGTGAGGGTCCCACAGCCTGATGGTATGATCATCTGATGCTGATGCCAGGAGCAATCCATCTGGGGAGAAGGTCACAGATCTCACCAGATCAGAATGTCCAGTCAAAGTGGCAATGCTAGAGGGCCAATCTGAATCTTGCCCATTATGTACAATTACAGTTGGATTGGGCCCTTGTTGGAAAGCTCCCAAGAGCTGGCTGTTGGTGGGAAGGAATGGTAAAACAGACTGGCTGATGTGTGCTGCACTAGCTTCAATGGTTGGTGCATGGGCCAAAACCATCCGGACAGCTTCATGCAAAACCACAGCAATGTGGGCCAGGAGACTTTTTGATCTCTAATTCAATAGTCAGTAATATGATCCTCAATCAAGCAGTTTGATCACTGACCATCCAGGGAAGAATTTCCCATATGCCCCTAGCAGCATCACTTACACAGCCCATCATGCTCATCATGGCAATCCACCGTAATAAAAGGCCCTTTCCCACATTATTCCCAAGACCAGTAAACCTCTCCAGCATACCCCTAACCTCATCATCAACCTGCTGAACCTTTTCCAAATGGGATGTCCAAAAGCGGCAGGCATACTGCACTTCTCTTCCCACTACTGAGGTAAGCTTGGCACTAAGATTCTCCACACCTGCATTGAGTGAATTCCACGGAACAATCTCATCTATAGCAGGAACAAGGTTCTCATTGAGAAGATTGAGGCACCGAAGGGCCATCCACCTCTCATGCTTCTCCACATCAACCCTCAGTTCAGGATCCTCACACCGTCCCATGATAAAATCTGGAAAGGAAGGGTGATAGACCTCCACTTTTCCCTCCAGCTCTGAGGGTAGCGGAATAATGGATTGTATGCGGGTTAGCAATAGTTTAGGATCAGGGACTGTGGCAAAAGTGCCAAGTGCTTTCATAGGCAATGGATCCTTCAGCAGAACCACAGCATGGAGAAGACGGTAAAGCTGGGCAGGTACATCTAGAGGGGTTCCATCCACACTTGCGGACAGGACTGTTTTATAAAGGCTATCCAGGTCAGCATAAGGACTTGCATCAGTCGGATCTGTACCACCTAATACAGCACGCAGTCGACGCTCGGGATCCATGACCTTATCATCTCCGATGAACTTGGATGCAGTAGCAGCCCAGATGAAGAGTCCGCCAGCTTTCCTTGTGAGATCCGAGACAGTTTGGGATGAAGGCCACTCATCCTGGACAATATCACTAAAATCCTCGCGAATAGACTTGAACCGATCTTGGAGATATAGCTCAATGTCATGAGAAACAATGTCCTTATCAACTTCATGAACCACGACCTTGTCGATATTCGCAGCCTGGTCAAGCTTGACAGTGATATGGCGCTCCGGGCGGCTTGTTATGAGTATACGGAGGCCAGGGATGCCAGTGCAGCCGTCGACAAGGTGGCGGAGTATCCCCTTCACGCCGTCTGCTTCGTCTCGATTACACTCATCTAGAGCATCAATCACTAGTAAAAGAGGCGCCGAAAGATCGACACATCGAAGGGGCATGAAGAAGAGGTCGGAGCATTGGGTTCCAAGGGAGGCATGAGCAAGCTTCTCATCTTTCTTCAAGGCTTCCACAACAGCCGCACCGAAAGCCGGAAGCTTCTTAGCGAGGTCCCGTACAATCGTCCCAAGGAAGAATTTCGCACTGGATAACCCTGCATGTTGACGGACGAAGAAGAAGCTTGACCCGAGAAGGCCAGACTCCTTGGCATACCGCGCAATGGTACAAGCGATGGTCGACTTGCCGATCCCGGCCAGGCCGTTCACCCAGAACACGGATTTACTTGTATCGCTGATTGGTCGGTGCAACCATTGCTTGATGTGATCAAGAATCTTGGTTCGCGTTCCAGAGAAACAGTTGGATGGGGCACCCTGCCGGCTGGTGTCATAGCCAGCATCGAGTGTATGAAAAAGAGTGTTAAGATGGGACTCTAACTGCTTCGTTTCTTCATCCGAGCGAAGTTGCTGCACGACTGGTTAGCTTGGGAGCTAGGGGAACAGGTGTAAACCGAACCGCACCTCAATCCCTAAGGCAAGTCGGACTACCTGCGCCGCCTATGTCCATTGATTAGCGTTCGATGCATGACTCACACGTAGTGGAGAATACCTACTTGAAAGGCCCTCACAGCATCACGTATCCCTTCCCCAGCTGCCTGGACATCGCCACCGATTTTATCACGATCCGCCCACCGCTGACCACGACTTTGGCCCTGGTACGATTTCAACGGCGAAATAACCTTATCAAGATTACTGCCAGGGAAATTCAGCATTATTCCGACTCCGAGATACTCTCAAACGCACGCCGATAATGCATCGATTGCTTGGGCAAGCTCGGGTGGAACAGCGCCTTTTCCCTTATATTGTTCGAGCGGCTCCGATACCGACTGGTTAAAGAATTTGACACCGTTCTCGAGTTGACGAATCGCATCGGCGTTGCCACTGACTTGCTGTAAGATCCGAAATTAAGGGCCCGCTGACGCAGTTCTGGATCTCACTCACTTTCAACTGATTGGCTACTACAAGGAAACCACTGATCGCGCTCTGGAGTCCAGGAACCGGGACACTACTGAGAGTCTTTTCAGCGATACTCAACAAGCTCAGAACACCATTCCAAGCGGTGCTAAGTCCTGTGCTGAGTCCCGTGTCCCGGCTTGACGATGGCAGCGGCGTGGTTATGGCAAAGGCCCCTACATGTGGCAGACTTTGCGATGATGTATCCTTCTTCTTGGAGAATTTTTCTTTGAGTTTCTCCTTGCCTTCTTTGACTTTCTTGAACATTTTGGACATATTGCAGCAACGATCAAGTAGAACAGTTCAACAGGTTATGTGTTTGAGCCTTTGCAGTGCGCACAGCCCTCAAGTCGCCTAATCAGGAAGCTTTTTTAGAGTGCAATAAGCGCCGTTCTGGCAGTTCTACGTGAACTAATATGCAAATACTTCTTACTCGATACAACATATCGCGAAAGCTACTGGGGTTCCACAAAAAAAAGAATAAAAAAAGAAAGAACTTTACTCTGTTGGGAACACCTGCGATATGATCGGGGGAGTTAGCAAAACTACTTAGCTAGGTCTCCTTTACTATATATATACCTCCATTGAGGCATCAACCCAACGCGATGACGAATTAATCATGCGGAAACGCGTAGCACAACAGATGGGAGATTCAATGAGAGGTGTTCTGTTCTTGTGGGAGGACTGCTCGCAACGTGGATAAAGCCCTCCTTCGGCTCCACTTCGTCAGCTCCACAACAATCAAACACTCTCACCTGTTTCACCCCGATATTCTCTCTCTCAAATTAATCCACGCCTCCCGATCAGCTAATTTGGGCACCATTGTCGATATCTTAATACGCCAATGACCGAAAGACAGTCGACCCCACCTAACTAATACTCGTTAGAGTCCACTGTCCAGACAAACCTAAACGCGCTTGTCCTGGGCCATACAATCGCGTCAGAGCGTTGGACCTCACTCGTAGACTTCAACAGAAGTGAGCCACTTGTATCACTGCTTACATACTGTGCCTTCCCTCGCGTGCTAGCCGCGTTTGGTACGGCACCTGTCGTGTCAATGGGAGACTTTCGTTCGTTGCCCCTGGTTTCTGCTCATATCCCTCCCACTCACGGTGTCTACCATTCTCCGTCGTGCCACTTCAGCTTTGTCATGGGCGTTTACGCTGACGCGGTCGTTTTCGTGCCATTATTCTATCGAGACCGAGCAGGCATCATGCAATCAACGCCACCGATGCCGACCCCATTTATCACTCACATTCGAGTTGACGCCACATAAACATATTTATTACATCGGAGTATGGTCCACGCAGTCTATTAGTACGAAAATTCCTCGTTGTACAGCGAGTAGTGGTCTGTTCCGTTGCCGCCCCCACCTCACATCGCATCAGTTTACTTCCTGGCTGCCTTTGGTTGACGCGTACGGACCCGGTGACAAATGGCTCCGCCGTCCTTGATCCTCATCAGCCAAGGGCTGAACCCCATTTAGGAACGCAAAACAATCGCTTACCCTAGTGTCGTGGTGTATCGTTCACGATCGTGTGCATGTGAGTAGATTCTTGGGATCGGACGTCCCGCGTGTCTGAAAGATTATATAGCAGAACTATCCCCGCTTCTTTCTTCATACCTCTCATCGATCCGCAAACTTGATTTGCTGCAGTGAAGTATTTAATTCGATGCGAAACGCGGCCGCGTGGAACACTAGTTATTGGTTCGTTCACTTGTTGATTGCTTCGTTGGGGCGTTTCACACATACGAGGCGGCGATATGTGGCCTAGTCCCCCTTTCTCCTTTTGTCGACGCACTCGGACTATCTTCCAATTAGATATACTATTGGGCCAACCTAAGCTGGATAGTTTACCACAGCAACCTGTTGGGGATTCCTATGGGGCTAACAAGGTGAGTACAAACCATCATTAATCGTAAGTGATCTCTTCGACTTCTCAATACCTTCATTGCCGCCGTTACTGTCGTTTTACCGGATGGAGGTGAGGGGACATGGCGTTTTCTGCAGCATCCTTCAGAAACTCATTTTTTTGGTCCTCAATGAGTTATTTGCCTGGATCACGTGTGATTAGTTCCTCGGGTTCGATGCCACTGACATCATCTCCCTCGAATGAATAAAGTGTAGCGTGATTTAACAATGCACTCTAGTTAAGAAAAGCACGAATCAATGGGAATGAGAGATGACGTGAGAATGCCAAACGCCAGCCAACGAGAATGTCGAGTCAATCAATTTACCGCCCCATCTGCGGAGCCTCGCGTCGCCCGAGCTTTAAGTAAAAGAGTGATTGACGGCGTGCGAAATACAGCCAACACCCTGCAAACAATATGAGTTCACCGCGCGCGCAAGTTAACCAAACATTCAATAAAACTCTATTCTGGACGCAACCAATGCACTGGGACCCTCAGAAGCGATGCTGCTATTCTTGTGCCGATCCAAATTTGAGTGGCTGGCCCGTTCGATTCGGGAACATGCTTATATACACCTGGGTGGGTCACAAATATATAGTATATACCCCGAAGATGTCCGCACAGGAGAACAAATAATTGGCAGATAGCACGGATCGGTAGAGCCCTAGGTAAGCGGGTATTTATCAACTAGCTTCTCTGAAAGTACATACAGCACGTTCTGCATTCATGGTGGCCTTGCTATCACCACGGCCAACTGAAACCTTGAAGCGCGACATCAGGAGACTGGTGGAAAACCCAAGTCACTGAGGGGTTGCTTAGAGATGGCGAGGCCATATTTAGTTCGAACCCTGCAGGCTCACTCCATCCGACACCAGCATGCAACTGCTGCTTCATAGTCATGGCCCCCCGCACCAGAGGTCGAATTTCCCAGTCTCTGACCTTGGTGAAAGGGTCCTGAGTGTATCTGCCTGCCGGATAGGATTTCATCCAGCCAAGTGCTGGGTAAGCTATAATGTTGCCACTGCCTGATAGGGGTGCCGTGGTTCGGTTCGGTTCGGTTCTGGGGCGATTTTTTGAGAACCAGAACTGAACCAGTTCTGTGTTTGGGCGATGATGTCAAACCAGAACCGAACCAGTATACGAACCGAACCGAACCACAGCTCGGTTCTGGAACGGTTCAAGCAAGCCTTGTATTACTGTCCAAGTTAATTATTGTAATTACACTTACGAAGTGCACTAATAATACTTGGAACGCGAAATTTCAACCAAACATTAAGAATCTGGGTTGATTCCCACTCTCGATCTCTCTGCAGACATAAGACTTGCTCCATATTCACACCACTCTTGAGTCTTCGCTGCCTCTGAGGTCTTCTTTGCTTCCCTTTCCTCACAATAACGACGCTGTACATCGGCCTTGGCGATTTGGATAGCACCAAGGTGCTCAGTGTCACAAACCTCTCGGCGCTAGCGAGCGTGAGAACGGAATGGAACGGAGCGAGAGTTGTGAGATCACGAGAAGCGAGGTCACGAGCAAGAAGATCACGAGCCACAAGTCACAAGATCACAAGAAGTCAATTCAGGTTGGCAACCTGTGTTGACCAGTTGAAGAGTCCATCTTCACTGGTCAACTCCTTATATACATGAAGATGTGCTAAAACATGCGAGGTGAGACATATGAGACAAGAGAAACATACAGGAAGTCTTGAGCTACATGAGCTGAAATGGAACTGAGATATGCAGAACATGTGAAACCTCCATTAAGTCCATCCGGGGTTACGGCTTAACCGTAACACTCAGGTGATTCCGATTGTTGTTGTCAGTGTGTTTCACAGCAGAAAATGCCCTTTTACACAGAACAGACGAGGCTGGAACCGAAAGTAAGTCCTGAGCAATAGACATTAAAACCGGGTATGTGGCACCTTTTTTCTGGAAGTTGGAAGGATAAGTCCAGGTTGCAGTTGAGATCAAAATGAGTGCTGGCAACATGGCTTACCATCCAGAAGTTGAGAATGTCAGTTCCTGGCAATTCAAGTGGTTCAATAAGATAATGTTCGAGTTCTGCACAAGGATCATCACTTGGGCACGTCGAGCTTGACTGGCTGCAAGACTGGTCCGGTTTATTGGCAGCATCACGCAGTTCACCCAGCATAGGATTTTCAGGGTCTGTATGCCACTCACTTTCGTTGCCACAGAGAGTTTCCATTTGCTGAAGGGAGTGTGTCGATTTTGTTGAAAAAATCGTATGAATGCATGCATAACATTAGCTAAATCCTGTGATGGTTCTGTGGTTCAGTTTGGTTCAGAACTGGTTCACAATATCCCCCAACATTCAGAACCAGAACCGAACCATCATAGAACCAAATCAGAACCAAACCATGGTTTGGTTCTGCTGTGGTTCAGAACCGGTTCTCTGTGAACTTCGGCACCCCTAGTTGCCGGGCGCTGGCCAATGGGTGAGCGAGAAGCTCGTGCTAACTAATGAGCGCTAGTCGGTGAAGCCCTTCCTGAGCCCCAAGTGTGAGGTAGAATAGTTGTTATCAGCACAATATCGAGTAGATATTGCACTCTGGCTAAGTCTTCATTGTTATAATCGCAGTATTGCAGCCCGATCCTCTGAGCTAATGAAATAGGAGCTATCGCACGTAACTCAGTCTCAAAATGGAGAACCAGTATTAAGATTTTTTACCTATCGCGTGTAACTATAACATGAAAATACAATGAGTTATGCGCAAACACAGATAGGAAAGAAATGGTATCACCTCAGTCTTGAAATGGAGAACTGAGGGAGGGAGAAAAATTATGGCGTCCAGCGTAACTTATACAACTGGAGCCAATATCGCTTAAAGCGATTGCCAGTGACAACTGGCGATGTAAGACAAAGTAAATTGGGAGCACGTGGTACTGCGACTCTGAAACAAAAAGGTATAGTCATTGTTAGTCACGACGATATTAAGTTAAAATAAAAACTCCCCAATCCACGCTGCAGCTCGGCCATTATCGATGAGCGTTGATATTCCAACACGCCCACTCAACGATCATGACCATTGATAATTCCCATACCTCTGGTGAACTTGTCGTGTTTAGCCAGTGCAAGTCCTTTAGTAAGAACGTTGGCCACCTGATTGTCAGGGCACACCTGCCCAACCCAGCTCCACCCACCTTCACCTGGTACCCTGCCCACCTCCACCCCTCACCCTTCACCATTGTTTCTCACTTCTTGTTCTTCCTTTGTCCTTCTGTTCTTTTGCTCTCTTGCCCTTTCTTCTATCTTTATCTACATGGATGACATTTCCCCTTATCTATGTATTATCGACCCGCCTGCGACACGTGCACGACGCACCCAGCCCTGGATGACCCGGACGGCCTCACGGTGCAACCCAGCACATGCGCGTGCTGCACACACCCTTGGGATCCCCCATGGGGAC